TACAAAGGAACAATTGGAGAAATTGTATTGGGCATTTAAATTTTGCAGTGAATTCCTATGAAGCGGTTTTGGTCAAGACTGACCTATTTGAATAGCTCAGCACTAATAGACTCAAACTTTTTGCTAAGTCCCGACCTTTCTCTATCAGCTCTCTCAACAGCTTCTTAGCTCTCTGCATTGTTTCCACAGTGTCCCCTCCTGTTATTGGTGGGGAGCTGGCACTGTCCTGTTGAGGAGGTGGGACCAGTTAACTTCTCTTGCCCAAGTGAGATAGGTGCCATAAAATGTTGTTCCTAACCTGACTTTTCCTATACTTTCAAGAGATGTGGATACTAGTAGGACTTCAAATTTCATCCTTATATGAGTTTAAGGGATGTCTTATATCAATTTCCCCACCAGTTGATCCCTTAAGATGGCTTTACAAGATGAGCAGCAAATGGGAAGTGCAACTTATGACAACCTGTTTGGTGAGAGCCACTATACACACTGCTTGTTCGACCACCTAGATTTAGTCTTCAGCCAACTGCACTGAATTCTGCTGTCCTTCAGGAAAAGGATCCCATAGAGCAACAAGAAGAGTTCAAAGTGTAGGTGCTGGAGGTACCCATATGTGAACCTACCTGGGGTGGATTGGAGGAACGAAGAGGCCAGGCAGGGATTGTGGTGGAGCTCAAAGCATCAGCATCCAAACTCTGTCCTTACTTACATAAGATTTTTTTTTTGTCAATTTGCAGTTGATATGTGCAACTAACTGCAATGTGATTATCTTAACATTACATGCACTTTCTACAAAGTAAACTCCTTATTTTGAAACATTGGATGAGAAAAAAATTCAATTGGATTTTCAATCTATTCAAGTTTTACAAGGAATTTCAACATTACATTTGTTTATTTTATGTCATATTTTCTGTCACCATTTATTCCCTCTATGTTTTTTTTCACTCTTCCCTGTAATAACTCATGAACATTACATTTGTAAATGAAGGAAAACAAAGAGTTGTTATGTTCTTTAAATACAATTTAAAAGAATGGGAATTTAGCCTTGACCAGTTTGGCTCAGTGGATAGAGCATCGGCCTAAGGACTGAAGGGTCCCAGGGCATGTACCTTGGTTGTGGGCACATCCCCAGTGGGGGGTGTGCAGGAGGCAGCTGATCGATGTTTCTCTCTCATCGATGTTTCTAACTCTCTGTCCTTCTCCCTTCCTCTCTGTGAAAAATCAATAAAATATATTTTTTAAAAAGTGGGAATTTAAAAGATTTTAAAATTCGTATCATTTACTTATGCAACTAAAATATCTTACCAATGGTGACTATCAAAAAATTAAAGAGATTATCATTGGTAATTATAATTGATCATTGATAATTATCTGTAGTCATTTCAAATATACAATCGGAAATAAAAAAGCTATATTTATTCAAGCAACCTCAAAAATTATAAACATTTGCCCTGACCAGTTTGGCTCAGTGGATAGAGCGTCGGCCTGCGGACTGAAAGGTTCCAGGTTCGATTCCAGTCAAGGGCATGTACCTTGGTTGCAGGCACATCCCCAGTGGGGGATGTGCAGGAGGCAGCTGATCGATGTTTCTCTCACATCGATGTTTCTAACTCTCTATCCCTCTCCCTTCCTCTCTGTAAAAAATCAATAAAATATATTTAAAAAAATTATAAACATTTAAGGTTTTTAAGAACATCCCTTCTAAATTTATATTTAACGTACTTCTCAATAAATTCTAAATCATTTTTCTTATAATTATATAATATACAAAAAGTGTCATATTTTTCCATGAAGCCCATATAGCCTAATCCTCTTCCAGTATCCTATAGTGAGCCCATAAAATAACATCATTTTTCTCTGCTTGCCATGATATTAAAAAGGTTTATAAGTGTTGCCTAATCCATGGAGAAGTAATATATGTTCCATCCCTGCAGTTGTTTTCATGGTCCTTAAGACCTTACACAATTATATACCACAAGCCTATACCAGTTCAGGATCCATTCCCCCGCATATAGAGAGAGCATATTGCCCCTCCACTTAAAGAGACCATGGCCTTTGGAATGTCTTCCCCTCCACTGTTTGGGCCAGCCCTTCCTAGACACTCTCTGAGCAGCAAGATCTCAGCCCTGGGCCTTGGGCAGCAAACTTCACAGCCATGGACACCAAATTCCCAGTTGTAGTGGTTGTTGAGGTGTGACAGCCTCTTCCTCAGTACTACTACTAATTTATCTCTTTTGAAAGAGGTATCAGAAGCCTGCCTTGGCCAGGATAGGAGAGATAATGAGGTGGAAATGATAGAAGCCACCTACTTTTCCTGTTGGTATGAGGCAGAGAAACCCCTAAGCTCCTGGACCCTCTAGAAATAAGGGCCTGCCTCTGGATCACCAGACACTATGTACAGAAGGTGTATATTTGGGAGTGAGTCATCAGCATGTAGATAGTAGCTGGAGCCATGAGATTATAAGAAATCTCATAGGGAGAATATTTTATAAAGTGGGATGAGAAAAGGATCCAGGAAAGGGCCCTGGGGGAGGCGCAGTTGAGCTGTGGGGTAAAGAAGAGGAGCAGCAAAGAAGACAGAGTTGGAGCAGACATATATACATAAGGAGCAGAAAGACTGAAAGTGTGAACACCCTGAATAGTCCTGAAAATCAAGGGTCCCAAAACTCATAGAAAAAAGAGCAAGAATCTTACTCTGTCCTTCACCTTAGTCCCATAGATAAGATGAGCCCCTTATCTGTCCAATAGTGACATTCCTGCATTCCTTTCTTTCTCTGCCCCGTGACTTAAGTCTCAGAGTTTTCTTTTTATCTCTCTCCTCATTACAGTATTTCCCTCCTTTTCCAATGAGTCATCAGCACAACGCCTTGGGATCACCCTGCCTCAGTCATCTGAGGAGGCAGCGAGTCTCTCCAATTTATCATGGCAGCCTCATCTCACTCTACCTCTGCTTCCAGATGTTCATATTGGTTGCAGGTAGGAATCCTTATATGGGAGTCTGATTCTCTGATATGAAAGGGGAAGGAAAAGGTGAAAGGGAGGGAAGCTGGAAGACAAAGTTTGACAAAAATACAAATGCTACTTTCAACAAGAAAGTTTTAAAAATCAAAAACAAAAAAGAAAAAGAAAATGAAATACAAATGCTATGAGATCCTGGGGAAAGTAAAGAAGTCAATTTTATTTCACTTACTAAGTATCAGGCAGTGTACTGGCATTTTTACTTGTATCTCCTGGTCCAGGCCTGCTGGTGTGTGTGTGTGTGTGTGTGTGTGTGTGTGTGTGTGTGTGTGTGTGTGTACACCTGAGTACAAATGTACAAATGTGCATGTGGTGGGGCAAAGATTGAAAGAAAGTAAAAGAGCCTCAAATGGTAATAAAGAAGCATTAGAGCCACAAGATAATGTAGAATAATTAATTTTGGAAAAAAATTAGCTTGTATGCCCCAATTTCTCATCCCATGCTCATGGCAAACAGTAATAATGATTCTCACATATCTTTACCACTGAGCTGCTTCAGATTTTTTCTCAACACAGTTATCCAACTATCCATTCAGAGCCATCAGAATTCCTCCCTCCTACTGACAAGGTCAGACCTGACCTGAAGGAGCCAGCATGTCTATTCCCATCTCCTGCAGTCACATTCCTCAGGTCCCTCCCCACAGGGTGAGTTAAGTAGGGTCCAATTTTTTTAAGTCTTCACATGAGGATATGTTTTTCACTGAAGGAAGATAGAGAAAGAGAAAGATAATCAATGTAAGAGAAAAACATCAATTGGTTGCTTCACCTATGTGCCCTGAAGGGGGACTGGTAATCAAACCCACTACCTGGGTATAGGCCGTAATCAGGAATCAAATTGGACACCCTTGTCTGTATGGGATGATGCTTCAACTGAGTCACACCAGCCAGGGCTAGGGCTCAACATTTAAAGGGGCACTTGCTTTCAGGATCTTGAGGACCCAGCACCTGTACCCCAAAAGTGAGTGCCTCCTCAAAATTTGTGTCCTAAGTCTTTTGCTTGCCTCATTCAGCAAGGCCTAGACATCCTATTTCCAACATCTCCAACTATCTCCTAGCTCTGTGTGTATAGTCAGGTCAGAAAAGAGATCCTCAAATTCAGCAACTATCCCATTTCAGACCTGGTCCCTAGTAGTGGGTTATGATGAAAATAGCCAATCATATATGTAGTCAACACCCTTTCATTTGTCCTCAGCCCACCCTGACTCTATCTCTATTTTGTTTTCAGGAGCATTCCAAGTCCAGGGGCCCCATGAACCCATGGTGGCCATGCTGGGTGGTGAGGCTGAGCTGTCCTGCATCCTTGTGCCTCGTCAAAGTACTAAATATATGAAAATAAGCTGGACCCGAACCCTACCCTCCCAGGTGGTGCACCTGTATGAGGATGGGCAGGACAAACCTGAGAAAGCCATGGAAGAGTATTTAGGGAGGACACAGCTTGTGAAAAATGTCATGCATAAGGGGATCATGGTCCTGAGAATCCTCAATGTCCAACCCTCTGACAGTGGGCAGTATCGCTGTGTGATCCAACATGGCTCCTTCTACAGTGAAGCAGTGATTGAGCTGAAAGTGGCAGGTAATGGCCCATGTTTTTCCCTTGGACACTCCACAGGGGCTCCTTCCTCTGATCCAGTTTTACTGGGAAATATAAAGAAGTCATAGGAGAAAGGGAGATGGCCATTATGTCTACTCACCCCGTCATCCATATATCACTGCTTGGGACTAAATAAAAGATAATAAAGAGCCCTAGCTGGTTTGGCTCAGTGGATAGAGTGTCAGCCTGCGGACCACGAAGTGTCCCAAGTTCGATTCCGGTCAAGGGCACATGCCTGGGTTGCGGGCTAGATCCCCAGTGTGGGGTGTGCAGGAGGCAGCTGACCGGTGATTCTCTCTCATCATGGATGTTCTATCACTTTCTCCCTCTCCCTTCCTCTCGGAAATCAATAAAGATATATATATTTTTTAAAAAAGATAACAAAGAGACTCATAGTGGGAGTCAAGAAATAGGCAGGGGCCATTTGTCTTGGACTGTGTTGGAACCCTTTCTAGCCCAGGAGTCTAAGCCCCCATCTTTGTTGCCAACACTTCTTCAGAGTTTGCTGTTCTGCACACTGAGGTCTAGTCCACAGCATGAACTCTTCAGAAACAGGGGAGGAATATATGTGCAGGAAAATGAGCTTAGGACCTGACTTCTCTCTCTTCCTCTTTCCAGCTCTGGGCTCACGTCCTCAATTCCACATGGAAGTCACTAAGTCCCGAGAACTCCAATTAGAGTGCAAGTCAGAGGGCTGGTTCCCTCAGCCGAAGGTCCAGTGGACAGACTCTGAGGGGGGAGAAATTCCAGCTGATTCTGAGACTCAAACCCAGGACAAAGGCGGCTTATTCCATGTAACAACATCACTGTCACTCAGAGAAACTTCTCAGAAGAATCTGACATGTTCTGTCTGGAACCCAGTTCTAAATCAAAAAAAAAGAGAGCAATTCTCCACAGCAGGTCAGTTTCTTCTCTCCCCTCACTGTGCCCACAAAATGGGCCTGATGCTCACACCCATGGCGGTGGGAGCTCTAAGCATATAAGCTCAGTTCTGCTCTCTTCATCACACCTACACCACGCTCCCTGCCAGGACCGAACTTCCCTCCACTTTTTCTACCTTTTCCCATCCTTTCCTGACATATTTTCCAGTCTTCACCTACTTAAGCTCTCCATAGAATTGGACCTTTTTGTCTTAGTCCATTTAGGCTGGTATAACAAAATACCACAGACTAGATGGCTTATAAATGACATAATTTTATTTCTCACAGTTCTGAAGACTGGAAGTTCAAGATCAGGAGGTCAGCACAGTCAGGTTCTGGTAAAAGCACTCTTCCAGGTTGCAACAGCCAATCTTTCCTTGGATCCTAACATGGTAGAGGGATAGGGGGCTGGAGGGGGATATGGGGTGATCTCTTTTATAAGGACACTAATCCCATTCATGAGTTAAAGACCTCACATTGGGCATTAGGATTTCAGTATATGAATATTATTGGGACACAGGTGTTCCAACCACAGCACTCTTCACCAGAAAGTATTTTCAGACTTACTCCTTACTAGCCCTCTAATAAATAGGTCGATCTCCCCTGCTTCTCAGTTTACAAAATTTCTCCTCAGTCTTTTTATGCTGTATTCTTTCTCTATTTAGATGAGCTGTTGCAAAAATGCTATGAGCCTAAACATAGATCAAGTCCTATTGACATGCAGGACTTGATCTACCTTGTGAAATATATATGTATATCTCTTGCTATACATATATATTTCACTTCTTTCCTGATTTCTGCCCAGAACAATTGTCTTGCCACAGTTTTCTTAAATTTTTATATTTCTTCATAGAGACTACTATTTATTAATAATTTTGGAATTCATAGCTAAATGTTTGGCTATAATATTCATCTATGCAAGCCGTGGGCAAACTACGGCCCGCGGGCCGGATCCGGCCCGTTTGAAGAATAAAACTCTATTGAAAAAAAAGACCCTTTTTTTTAATGATGTTTACTTTGAATTTATATTAGTTCACACAAACACTCCATCCATGCTTTTGTTCCGGCCCTCCGGTCCAGTTTAAGAACCCATTGTGGCCCTCGAGTCAAAAAGTTTGCCCACCCCTGATCTATGCTATGGAAGCATTTTTCTTGTGAATCTTGATTATTCTTTTTGTCATTTTTCCATGTATAATCTTTGTACTGTTCCTATGCCAATCTTATTGTCTTACTCATTATTCCATGCATTGAGTTTTCCTGGGCCAGCTATTTCCACAAGTCTCCTGTGAGGCAGGGAGGGTAGCGTAGTCTTCCACAGTAGCTGATTCTCATAATCCTACTGCTACCACAGAGACAGGCTTCTTCCTACCAATATGGCCCATATGTGTGAATATTTGCATATTCCATGCCCTCTGTTTCTCCAAACAAAAATCGTTCTAAAATGCACACCTCAGGTCCTGAGTCATTTGTTACAAACATGAATGTAGCTTTTGATCTTCCAGGTATGCCTCTCTCTTCAGTCAGTCTATTTTTGTTAATACTTTCTGACATTTGCTATTGTGTGGTCTTCTAACCATTCTCCACAACTCTCTTCACTATCTCCCACCTGGAGTCTATGTTATCATAGCTATTTTTAGCAACTTTTACATCTATTTTAGTCTGGTGTTTGCAGTTCTTTTATTTGTTTAGTAATTTTTTTGCTGATATTTTATTTGCACTAAAAAATGGCCATGAGAGCAAGAGGAGAAAAGTGGAGTCAAAGTGAAGACCTATATAATGTGCCCTCTCTCTAGCTCTTAAATTTCATACTGTTTATTTCCTTCTCTCTCACACTGAGCTCAGGCCTTTTCATTTGCCATTGCCACTTACTGGGACACTCTATTCTGGCTTTCTTCTTAGTATAATTTATCTATGATTTGAGAGGGTGACACGGTGGAGTCACACCACAATCCTGCTATGTCCCTAGCTCCAGTCTCCCTCGTTTCCATCTATACTCACTCTTCATTGCTTCCTTCATGACTGTGACTTAACCCCCCTCCTCCATAAACACACACACACACACACACACACACACACACACACACACACACACTGAATTATTTACCTAGATTATAAAGGAAAACTCAACTTTCTTTTATTCCTGCCTCCAAATTTACCTATCCAGACCCATCAAAGCCTCAGCTGAACTAAAAGCCTTTCATCTAGTAACCTTAGCCCTTAGAAATAGCTTAAAATAAATGTGCAACGAAAATGTGTACCTGCCAGTACAATATCCACATACATTCCAAAGAGCAAGTCAAAGCACACTGACAGGTAGACAGGGAATAAGGTTTGTCTAAGACAATTTGTCCATCCAAACAAGGTATAGCTGAGCACCAAACTCACCAAATTCAAGTTCTCATTCTCCTAGCCCAGAATTATTTTCAGAAAAGGAAAGATTACTTAGGATGAAGTTTGAGAGCTGGAGAGAGAGCAAATTACATAGGTCTTCACTTTTTAAAAAATATATATATTTTTATTGATTTCAGAGAGGAAAGGAGAGGGAGAGAGAGATATAGAAACATCAATGATGAGAGAATCATTGATTGGCTGCCTCCTGCAAGCCCCCTCCCTCACTCGGGGATCAAGTCCACAACCCAAGCATGTGCCCTTGACCAAAATCAATTCTGGAACCTTTCAGTCCGCAGTCTGATGCTTTATTCACTGAACCAAACCGGCTAGGGCATGCCTCTTTACTCTTTACTCAATAATCTCAATTCTGTTACATTGCTACTTTTCCATGGGAGAAATAAATTTTTTGCTTACATTTATTTTCTGAACAAATAAGCTGAATATGATAATATTTGAATGGTGGCTTGAACTTACTAATCTATATACGTAAAAGGCTAATATGCAAAGTATCCCCTCAGGACTTCAATCGCTCGCTATGATGTGTGCCGACCACCAGGGGGCCGTACGGATTGAAGGAAGGCTCCTGCCGCAGCCAGAAGGCCCTGATCAGCCCTGATCGCTGGCCAGGCCTAGGGACCCTACCTGTGTACAAAATTTGTGCACCGGGCCTCTAATTAACCATAATTTGAAAGGGAAATAGAGATAGAGGGAGGATCCACAATGTATTACTGTTAGAGGGAATATGACTGGTGATTGACTAAGCAAGAAGTGAATGTGGGAACAACTCTCTTCAGAAAAACTGACTGGAGGACTTCTGTATTTCAGTTGCTGCGCCCATCAGTGTGACTGAGCCCACCAATACAACACTCATCATATTAGTTATATGTATGGCACTTCTGACTTCCATCACCATTGGACTTTATTTAAACAACAGGCTCAAACACCAGCACAAAACCAGGTAAAGGTATTCTTTTTTTTTTTATTAATATAAAAACATTGCTGTCCTTGACCTTCCTGTTTAGGAATAAGATCAAAATCAGCAAAACTCTGCCCAGAGGAAGTCATATTAATAAGACTCTAATACCTCAACTATAAAATATAGAAAATAATACATTATTTATATAAACTTCTTTGTGGATTATAAGAAATAATTTACATAAAGCATCCTTGCCTTGCAACAACACAAAGGCATTCAATGAAAGGCTATTATAATTATTATTATTATTAATGTTGTGGGAGAAGAAGGAGGAACAAAGGTGATGGTAGGATCAAAGGTGATGGAAGGACCAAATATTTATGATACACTAAACATGCACAAGGAATATGAAGCATTCATTTATGAGGTCTTACATGGACCACCGATGGGTAATAATCATTTTGGTATCATAGATCTTTTGCCTAAGAAATAAGTATATCCCCTGGCTGGTGTGGCTCAGTTGGTTGAGCATCTGCCCATGCACCAGGAGGTCACTAGTTGGATTCCTGGTTGGGGCACATGCCTGTGTTGCAAGCTCAATACCCAGTAGGGGGCATGCAGGAGGCAGCAGATTGATGATGACTGTTATACTTAAACGAGAGGCCCAGTGCATAAAATTTGTGCACTGGGGGTGGGGGTGTCCCTCAGCCCAGTCTGCACCCTCTCCAATCTGGGACCCCTCGGGGGATGTCTGATTGCTGGTTTAGGCCCGATCCCTGTTTAGACATCCCTCTGTGGGATCAGGCCTAAACCAGCAGTCAGACATCCCTCTCACAATCTGGGACTGCTGGCTCCCAACTGATCACCTGCCTGTCTGCCTGATTGCCCCTAACTGCTTCTGCCTGCCAGCCTGATCACCTCCTAACCACTCCCCTGCCAGCCAGGTTGCCCCTAACTGCCCTCCCCTGCAGGCCTGGTCTCCCTCAATTGACCTCCACTGCCGGCCATCTTGTGGCAGCCATCTTGTGATGACATAGGTGCAGCCATTTTGTGACCACATGGGGGGGGCCATCTTGTGCGAGGGTGTGATGGTCAATTTGCATATTACCTCTTTATTATATAGGATGTATAAACACAATGAGGTGCATCTGAAACTAATCCTATCTAATAATAGACAAACATGGTAATTGACCATACCTCCGCTATGCTTCCCATCGGCTAATCAGCAGGATATGCAAATTA